AGATGTGGGGGGATAAAAACCTATGGGGGCATCCTAGCCAGTGTGGGGGGACACAGGACTACCACCCTTGCAGACCACCCGAATCCATGGGACCTCTGCGATTCCCTTGGGGAAGCCAAACCCCTCAGAGATGGGACCTGGTGGCCAGGGACCTCCTCCCCCAGTGGGTCCTGCCCCCCAGCCCGTGGTGCGGCGGCGGGTCCGGTACCTGCTCGGCAGCTGTGCCGGGCGCGGACGACCTGGATGGCCTGCTGGTTCTTGAAGCGGACGAGGCCCATGGTGATCTCGGCGTTCCAGCCCGGGTCCTCCTGGGCGCAGCGGAAGTCAATCTCGTGGCTGTCGTCCATCACCACCGTGAAGTAGATGTGCCGCTCCTTCCACTCCACGCACTCCACCGCCTTCATGCGGGCGAAGCTCAGCTCCTTGCGCCGCGAGCCCTTGGGCTCGAAGAGCTGCAGCCCCTTCTCTGTCAGCAGGCACCGCTTCTTCTTCCAGAGCTGTAGCAGCCCCCCGCTCCGCTTCTCCAGCACCCCCTCCCTCAGCACCTTCTCGGGGGTCATAGCGGCCCCTCGGCCCCCAGGATCCTCAGCACCTCGCGTGGGCTCAGCCAGGCATCACCCGCTGGGGGATTTCCAGCCCCTTCACCTCAGAGCTGAGCTTCCCGGGGCCGGGACCCCCACGGTGGCCGTGCTGCCCTCGGGGCTCTCCCTGCCCTGCGCTCCCAGCTCTCAGAAGGGGTGAGCAGTGGGGTGCCCCATGCCGACCCCAGCCCTGTTGCTGGGGCTCTGCTCGCTGCCCCGTGCAGCGTGTGGGATCCCGGCGCCGCGTGCCCCAGGAGCTGTCGCTACATGCCCGGCCGCTCTCCCACTCGCATTCCTCCCGCCTCGCCTGGCCCCTCCTGCGCTCAGGCTCCCTTCACGCCCAGGCGAAGCCCGGCCAGGCCCCACTTCACCCAGGAGGTGCTTTTGGGGTGCCCGCAGGCAGGTGCTGCCCCATGGTCCTTGTGTGAACAGGCAGGGTGTGGGATGGGTCTGCACGGCAGCAGTGCCAGGGCAGGGCTCAGGGACTTCTGCACGGCAGGCATGCACTCCAGGCATGGAGTGCAGGGCCAGCTGTTGGGGGTGCAGTACCAGCTGTTGGGGGTACAGCACCAGCTGTTGTGGGGTGCACCCCACCGGCACAGGGCTATAGGGTGCAGTGCTAGTGGGCACAGTCAGCTGTGGGGTGCAGTACCAGCTGGACAGGGGACCCTGCATAAAATGCCAGCCAGGAAGGGGTTACAGAGTGCAGTGCCAACAGGGTTGGGGGGCTGTGCAGTGCAGTGCCAGCAAAGAAGGCACAAGGGGGTGCAGTGCCAGGGCAAGGGGTTACGGGGTGCAGTGCCAGCAGGGGCAGGGGGCTATGGGGTTCAGTGCCAGCCAGAGCATGGGGTTATGAGCTGCATTGACAGCCAGGGCAGGGGGTTATGTGGTGTTGTGCCAGCTGCAACAGAGGCCTGTGGGTGCAGCACCAGCCAGGCAGGGGCTGTGGGGACCACTGGGTGCAGTCCAAGAGGGGAGTCAAAAGCAGAGAGCAGACAGTAGCAACGGGAACAACCCTTGACACCCACCACCCACCCAGCCACGTGCCCAGGGGTGCTGGGCCACCCCTCAGCACACAGAGCTCCCATGCCCCAAATCTGCTGAGACAGGGATTTGAAGCCCCCAGGCTGTCCCACAGCAAGGAGCAGCATCCCCCAGCCTCGTGTGACCTGTGCAGGGGGGCTGAGCTGTCGGAGCGGGGCTGGGACAGCACAGCACAGCCCAGTCCCGCCTGAGTCCTCCCTCCCCTGCAGCAAAACACCAGTCTCCTTTCCAGCCCGTCTCGTTCCCGGCCACTGCAGCTCCGTCTGTTCCCGTGCCAGCACCTGGCACCGAGGGGCTCATGGTGCCGTGCCGGGCTGCCAGGGGGACATCTGGGGACTTGTGCTGGCCGTGGGCTGCCGGACAGGGGGACGGTCACAGCCTGCTGGGCTACTGGATGTGCCCCCACAGATGTTGAGGGTGTGGTTCCTTCACCCAGGTGAGGTCTGGAATCGGAAAAAGTTCCCCCAGAGATGTGCCAGGGTCATCGATTGGGGCTGGAGGCTGCTGATCAGCCCATGGCTCCTTGGCACGCAGCCACCACCCCAGCGCTCCCCTCCTGGACCCCCCTGCCCGTGCCCCTGCAGATCCCAACCCCGCGGAGCCCCCGGCTGGAGCCCCTCTTCCCCCAGTCCCTCCATCCTTCCTTCCCGGTCCTTCCCGGGGGCTTCTCCTGCAGCTGGCGTGGCCAGGGGGCAAGTCTGCAGCGGTGATGAGATGCACCTCATTATCCCTCATTAAGAGGGCAGGGCGGCTGTCGGAGCCAGGAACTGGTTCGTGCTCCCTGGGGCCAACCTCAGCACGCTGGCAGAGATCCCGGGTGTCCCAGGAGACCCGGGTTCCTGACGTCAGGTGGCCCCGGCTCCCCTGCGGCCCTCACCACCCCCACAGTCAGGGGCCAGTGCCTCCCCGAAGGTCACCTGAGCACCCCAGCACCTCCAGGAGGAGCAGATGTGCGGGTTCCTTTCCACAGGCTGTTTTCCCACGCACAGGTAAAGCTCAGCTCTGGGGATGCTGAGCCCTGGAAGCTTGGGGGTGAGTAGTTTGGGGATGGTTGCTCCCAGTGCTGCTCTGGTAAGCTGGGATGGCTGTGGGCAGTTTTGTCTCAGCATCCAGCTCAAGCTCCATCCTCACAGCACAAGGGAGAGCCAGGGGCTGCCAAACCCTCTGCCCAAGATGCCAGATCTGCTGCTTACTGTGCTCTCTGTCTTTCTGGGCTCCAGCCACCAAGGGAAGGTGATGGGCCCACAGCTGTGGGTGTGAAGGAGCTTTGACAAGGTCCTTCCCTCTCCCCTCTCCCTGTCTGTCTGTTCCCAGATCCACAGGGCAGGAGGCCCATCCTGCTGGGCTGCCTGGGGGATGACCTTGCAGCTCCTGCTCTCCAGCAAAGCCAACAGGACTCGCTGTGCCAGGCTGCTCCATGGGCTGCCCACGGTCCCCACGCTCATCCCGTCCACACAGAGCCCTCAGGGCAGGTGACAGGGCTCAGTCCTGCCCTGAGGTGACATCCCCTGCCACAAGGGCCACTGGCCACGGGGCTCAGAGGCTCCAGTCTGACCCTTTAAGTGGTGTCATCACCACCAGGCTCCAGGGTCCTTGGCCACGAGCCGACCCTCTGGTTCATCTCTTCAGGGGCAGGTTTGGGTCCCACAGCCCCTTCCAAGGCTGGCAGGCCCCCGAGGGGTGCGAACTGTTGGACACAGCCAGGGTCTGCTGCCTCTAAAGGGAGCTGGACACCCCCAGGGCTGGGGCCCTGCCGTGCTCAGTGACCAGCAGATGGTCAGAGCTGTCCTGCTCCAGGGCAGGGGATGTCCAAAACACACATCTGATCTCTCCCAGCCTGTCTCCAGAGCAGAGGGGCTCTCCCACTCCTCCCCTCTCTGACAGAACCTCTACAGCTATGGGCAGAAGGGACTTGTTGTGGTTTTATTGACTAACTAGCATTGCTTGAGCATGATCCAGTCTGTGGCACATCCAGCTGACATGCTGCAGCAGCTCAACATCCTCCATATGCTCCTGGAGAAGGCAGCAGCTTCCTGACCCCCCTTGTGCCTCCATGGGGAAGCAGGGCCTCTGCCAAGTGAAGGAACCAGGTTCCTGTCTCCACACTGAGGGTAGTACATGAGCCCTCTGTGCTGCAGCTCCCGACCCCACCACATCCCTGCACCTGGGCTGCTGCTCCACATGTCAAATGCCACCATCAAACCCAACCACACACCCCAGAGCAAAGGGACATGCTAGATTCTGGGTCCCAGGCTGGCAAACCTGGAGGGGGGGGCATTTTTGGGGGTGTTAAAGAGCTTACTCCCCATCTCAGCTTCAAAAACACCATGGGTGTTCAAAAACATGAGGGTGCAATGAACAGCAGAAAGTGCTTGAGTTGATAAAGGAGCCCAGGTCCTGCCCCACCAAAGGTTTTCTACCTCTGCTGTGCTTCTCAGAACACTACCCATCTCATTTGCTCAACCACAATGTCTATAACTTTAAAAAACCCCAGAACTAAATTCCCTGTGGAGTTCCTGATTCTGAGCTGCACTGAAGCTGAGCTGTGGGTATGTCACACCAGTCCAACAAGAGAATCACAGAAAGGGAGTAAAGAGTTTAGATGAAAACTAATTAAACCTGGGCAGCTGCCAAACTGGAGGCTTAATGATCCTCAAGCTGCTAAAAATCCAGGGAGTAGGTGAAAAGCTGTTAATTATTTGGCACTGCTGGGTACGCCTGCTTGGAGAGGTGCCACCTAAAAGCACTGATAAGGGTTTTGATAGGGTGAGCACACATGTTGTGCTACTGACACACCCCAGAAGGGCTGTCCTGGGCCTCCCAGCATCAACCACTGCTTTTGGAATAGTTATCCCCATCCCTGGAAGTGTTGAAGGTCAGGCTGGACAGGGCTTGGAGAAACCTGGTCTAGTGAAAGGTGTCCCTGCCCATGGCAGGGGTTGGAACGAGACAGGCTTTAATGTCTCCTCCAATCCAAACCATTCTATGATGATCCATAGTGGGAGCAGGGGGAGAGCCCAGCTAAGCTGACCCGCAGAACTCAGCACTGATACATTCCTGCCAAACCACAAATGCCAACACTTCTCCTCCTCCCTTCACCTCCTGACCTCCAGCTCTGGGCACCCAGTGCACCTCCTCAGCCCCAGAGAGGAAATAAACTCTCTGGCAAGGTCAGGCCTGGGTCAGCTTTGATGTTCTGGATGTTTATTGCTTGCTTGGTGACGCGGCACAGTGCAGCTGAGCGCTCATCCCGGCAGGACAAGCACACATCCCGGCAGGACGAGCACTCATCCCGGGGTGGGACACACGGAGCAGAACGTTTCGGGCACAGGGGCCTCGCTGAGGTGGGGGTGAGCAGCCCCCAGACCAGCACCCGCCCCAGCAGGACCCGGTGGGGCAGTGCTGGGACTGCCCTGGCTCCAGGGAGGGCTGGGTCAGGGCGGGCAGGGAGAAGCAGCGGGTGGCTCTGGATGACGGTGAGGATGCTCACGGCGGGCGTGGGAAGGGTCGGGCAGCACAGACTGGTTTGGACAAGCCCTGGGCGAGCACAGAGCCGGCTCCTGGTGCCTCACTGCGAGTGGACGAGTGCCCCGGCGCCCTGCCCAAAGCCAAAGCCCTTGGGACCGAAGTTCTTGGCGTAACAACCTGCAGAGGATGGAAAGGAGAGACAGGTAAGGCTGGCACATGGGCAGGTCCTCCTCCCGGAGCAGGCACTGCCTAAACAGGACAGGGTTTGCCATATTTGTTGGGCAAACAGGGAGGCCACAGGCCCAGCAGGAAACTCCCTGGCTCCATGGCCAGTCAGCACAGCCAGTCCCCATATGCAGCTGCCAGGGCCGCAACCTCCCCAACTTCCATCCCATCCTGGGTCCCTGCACAGGGGTTTTCATCCCCTGCCACTGCCCTTCAGAGCCCAGGACAAGCCAGCAAAAAAGGTGGGACTCACCTTTACAATAGATCTCCCCATCTTTGTCTGCCAGCGTGGTGGACTCCAGGCTTTTGCCACATTTGGCACAGCGGAAGCAGGACTTGTGCCAGGACTGTGGGACAGGAGCAGAGCCTGGTCAGACAACAGCCAGGGACAGAGCAGCAGGCTTTGGCTACCAATGGGCTCACTTCTCTATTTCTGACCTGAAGTTGCTGGCAAAGAGCTCTCAATGGGATAAAAGCTTTTCTCTGAAAGCTCTGACCTCCCAGCCCCAATGGGAAGATACAGAAAGGAAACACCAGGGTCACTGCTCCCGTGTTGATCTGGTTTTGGAGACCTTTTGCCCCCACTCACAGAAGTAATTTGTACAATAATTTGTACAATAATTTTTAAGGAGCAATCCTCTCCCCCTTTGGGGATTGTCCTCCTGAACCAGCATGATAATTCCCCCCCAGTTACCCAGCTGAGACCCGTGGCTGCTGGATGTTAGCCTGGGGGTGGCAGCAGGGTTGGGAAACCTGCCCCCACACAACCACAGCTCCAAGGAAGGCAGCAAAGGGACAGGAAGAATGCAAAAAACAGACAGTGTTTAAAAATAACCCCCCACACACAGTTCCAGCAGTCCCCTGGAGATAAATTAGCTCACAGTCTTGGGGCAGGCCCTTGAGTAGCCAGAGCTGCTCACGGAGGAATTTAAATAAACACTCTGGAAAACACGAAACCTTTTTTGGAAAAAAATGTGAAATTAGGGGGCTGGAGGAGGAGGAGGTAGCAGATGGAGTCATCCAGCAAACATTAGCACATGAAATACATGCTCTGGAATCCTCTCTGGGGTTGCTTGAGTCTAATTGCTTCACCAACTTTGGTTCCCAATAAACATTGAGGCCAGAAGCTGACCAGGAAGCCCAGATCATTGTTTTAAGGGTAAGTTTGGCTTCTGACCCTGGACTGACCCTCAACACGTCCATCACAGGTCCCTGCACTGCCAGCTGGGCGATGATGATGCTGGGAGGCCCTTTCTGTGACCAGATGCCTCCTCTCCTTGCTCTGGGGACAGAGGACAAGCACAGAGGCCCCAGGAGGACAGAGCACAGCAGGATCACCCACCAGTGATGTGACAAGGCCACAGCTCAGGATGCAAAGGACCCTGATGAAGTGATGAATTTGACAGAGGAAGTACCAGAGCTGTTACAGTGTCCTTCACATCCGACCCTGAGCTGACCCAGTCCACCACCAGAGCGGCCCAAGGGAGATGTCCTGAGCCCATGCCCACATCTCCAACCACCCTGCCTATGGGCAGCACTGACCACGAGAATTTACTCCCTGCCCTGAACTCAGGCTGCAGCATCCCAGCCTGGGGCAGAGGGTGGAGAAGGATCCCTGGATGATGCACTTCTTCAGTTAGTGAAGTGACCATGGCCCACAGCACTGCTCGTCCTCCCAACACATCTGCAGCAGGGACATCCACAGTGACCTCTGCTGAGGAGGGCTCCGAATTCAATACTGAATTTATTTCTCTCCCATCTACAAGTCTGTGAGAGCACTGCAGCCTGGGGAACCTGGTGTCCAGACATGTCAAGATCTCCTTTTGGTGCCAGGCTTCCAGGTGAGTGTGGCCACCAGACCCCAAAGTCAGCCCTGGCCAGAGGCTCTGGCAGCCCAGCTGGCAGCAGCCTGTGGGTCAGGTCAAGACCCTCTCTGAAGGTCTCCCTGCCACACAGCAACTTGTGCCACGTCCACTCCACCCCCCATCTTACCTTCCCAGCTCCAATCACTTTCTCAGCTGCATACACAGCTTGGCCACAGCGAGGGCACCCATCAGATCCTCCCACCTTCTGGGCCATCCTGGCTGCGTTGGGGTTGGGGGGTCGGTGGGGCTGGCCCCTGTTGGAGGGAGGAAGCTCATGGTTAGGGATGCATAGGCAGGATGGAGAGGGAAGAGCTATGGGATCCCAAATCCCAGCCCAGTTTTGAAGGGCCTGGAGCTTTTATGCACAATGTGTTGAGTGCCATGGAAAGTTCAGCCTGAGGGCTGTGTGCTGGGAGGGGGTGGGCAGGGTGCTCAGGCAACTGGGACGTGTCCTGTCAAGCCCCATCTCACCTGGCAAACAGGGTTCAGTGGATTTCCCCTGAGGAGCAGAAAGGCAGGGCAGCCCACAGCTCCAGCTGGATACTGCTGGGAGCTCAGCACGGGCTGCACAGCCAAGCAGCACAGACAGACATGGGGAAGAAGGTGCCCACAACAGCCCCAGTTTCAAAAACAAGACTCAGACTCACTCTTCATATTTGATTCCCAGAGACTCGCCCTTGTCAGTGCTCAGGGTCCCTGCTCCCATCCCGTATCCATAGCCCTTGGGGCCATACTTCTTCCCATAGCAGGACTTGCAGTAGATCTCCTCTCCATGCACAGCAACAGTGGTGCTGTCCAAGTTCTTCTTACAGACCACTAGAAAAGAAAGGAGGGTGTGCCATCAGCCTGCTCATCCAGAGCTCACTAATTAGCTGGGCAAAACAAGTCCTCACAGGGATAGCACAGCTAAGCTTTCAAGGAGCAAGGAAACCCTAGACAGGATCCAGTTGCAGGGAGTGAATGCAAACCACCAGAGATAAGGATCACAACAAGAACATTGTCTGGCTTTAAAAGGAAGCAACCGCCAAAGCCAAGAGGTTGATACCAAGAGAAAGCTCTGTTAACCCTTTGGATGCTGGTCTCCTGAATTTTCCCTACAAATCACTGCAGCATTCCCAAGCCCAGGGGTGGATGTCCTGGCCCCACAGTTCGTCCACTGCAAATACACAGCAAGAAGCACTCAGGGCAAAGAAATGTTAGCAAATGCATTTTTCCTGATGTTCAGAGGGACTAACAGCAGGCCTGTGGCCACCACCACACCCAAGGAGCTGTAAGGGGCTGTGCACCTTGTGCACAGTCACCTCTCCATACTCCGAGACGATGGAAGGGCTTGTGCAAGATGTCACCCCTGGTCTGTGCCCTGGTTTGAGGGGGTGTGTAGGGTGGTCTCAGGGAATGAACACTACTTCAGCTGGGTGTTGGAGCCCTGGGGGTCAATGTGGGATGTAAGATGGGACAGGAGGAGAAAGCAGCCAGGCTCAGGGTCCCTCCTAAGCCTATCCAGAGTTTCAGCTTGGTGCTGGGCTCAGGCTTTCTCCTGATTTTTAGAATCATAGAATCACAGAACAGTTTGGGTCAGAAGGGACCCAGAGTATCCAATTCCAAACCCCTGCCATGGGCAGGGACACCTTCCACTAGCCCAGGTTGCTCCAAGCCCTGTCCAACCTGGCCTTGGACACTTCCAGGGATGGGGCAGCCACAGCTTCTCTGGGCAACCTGTGCCAGGGCCTCCCCACACTCACAGGAAACAATTTCTCCCTTATATCTGATCTAAATCTCTCCTCTTTCAGTTCAAAACCATCCTTCCCTGGCCTATCACTATCTGCCTGTGTAAAAAAGTCACTCTGCCTGTTTTTCACAAGCCCCCTTAAGGTACTGGAAGTACCAACTCCTGTCCCAGCTCTGTCACAGCTGCCACGTCAGCTTCCAAACCCTTCCTGGAACACGGGACGGAGCGGGAGGTGAGCAGCACCCCAACTCCAGTGATCCCCAGTGTTTCCATGCCCCATGCAGGATCCCAGCACCTGGGGCAGAGTCCACAGCACTGGCAGCCAGCCCCAAACAGATCCGGTTGCAGCTGCCACACATGTTAAATGTGGAGGCTTCCAGCAGCCTCTTGGCCAGCAGAACACTTTCTTTGCCTCAACCACTATCGCAGGAATGCAAACACAGGAGCTCCGCCCTTGGAGCACAAACCACAGCACTGAAGGGCTGCCCAGCCCTTCCTCGGCCCCATGGCTAAATATGGTGCTTCTCTTCCAGGGCCCCGGGAGCTGTGCTGGGAGAAGGAAGTGGACAGGGAACCATCTCCTGCCATCTAAGGAGGATCTGGCTGGATCCTCTCCTGGCAGTGCGCTCCCACCACAGCAGGAGCTGGATGGATCCAGCGCCCCTGTTGGGAAAGAGCAGCCCTGCTGAACTGCTCCCACTGCTGCCAAGCTGCTGGGCTGCTGTTGGGGTTTCTGCATTACCCTGGAGCTACACTGTGTCCAGGCAGACCCTCGGGAGGGGAATTTGGGAACTTTTACTGGCACATTCAAAGAGCTTTGTTGTGAGCTTTGTCCCGGGGTGGTAGTGAATGATCTCAGTGACACCTCAGTGGATCTGGAGCTCCAACCTAAGCTTTCACAGTTCCTCATCTGTGCTCATCACAGAGCTTTGAGGGGCAGCAGAAAAAATTCTTTCCCCAGCTCCCGGGTTTCTGCATTGCAGAAATTCCAGTGAGCTGCACTCATGGAGTTAAGGACCCTTTGTTTTTCTAAGAGCAGCTGAGTCGCTCCACAAAACAATTAAACAGCTGCCTCTGCTTTCCAAGGCCAAGCAGGCTCATTACAGCACATTTCTGCTGTACTACCCCGTCAGCTGGATCGAGGCCAGGAGTCAATCACCAAGTCACTCCCTGAGCCCATCTCCAGCTCTAATGCACTGTGGTAGGTTTGGCTCCTTTTTGATGATTTTCTTGGCAGCTTGGGTCAAAGTATCTGTTATTTCCCCCTAAAGCCAATGTTTTGAGTTCCCTGATGAGGCCCAAATGCAGCACTGGGGAACAGGCTGGGAATGCAGGAGCTCGGGGGCACCACCCAGAGCCTGTGGCACAGGGCTGGGAACAGTGGGCACCACGGTGGGCTGGCACATGAGCCATGGCCTGAGCTGGGCAGCCCACAGCTGGGACAGGCAGAGCTGCTGGGCACATGTGCAGTGTGATTATGTACATCTGCAAAACACAGGGACAGGAGCCCCGAGCTCAGGACCACTCCCTGGGGACTTGCTCTAGGAGCAGATATTGGATGACCTTTTTCCCTACTTTGGCCATGTAGGGAAGCAAGCAATACCTTTAGCCTCATTTCATGGCTCTTGGAGGCCTGCCCTGCTCTCTGGGTGCCAGCATCTCATGGCAGCAGCTTTCCCTGGCAAACCAGCTGTGAGCACAGGGGGTGAGGGTAACACTGCCCACCCTCCTTATCTTCTTTCCGAAGAAACAGGACTTCCTTCTGCAGAACAGCTGCAATAAGGACTCAGCTGCCACCGCCTCCCTGCCAGGGAAAACCTCTCCATGACTCCCCTGCTCAGTCCTCCCAGCCAAAGCAAATTTCCAGCCTGGAAACTCCCACATCTGAGAGCTGCCAGCCAGCACTGGCCGCCCTCCACACTGTGCAGGGAGCAGAGACACAGTGACAGCCTCTCTCTCACATCTGGATTCAGCTGTGTGTGCTGCATCCCAGGCAGGATGGCCAAGAAGTAACCAGGAGCTGGGCCAGGTGGACACAGGACCATGGCAGGGATCAATCATCCCATGAGGGCACTGGTATTTCCCTGTGCAATAGCTCTACTGAGACTGGTCCTAGAGTGGGCCTGTTTACAGATCCCAGCTCTGCCTGCTGCCCATAAGGAAAAGATCCTGTCTGTGCTCCCTGCTGTGACAGAATGGTGAGAGTGAGACCAGGGTACTGGGACCAGCTGAGAAAACATTAAACCTGAGTAAGGATCTTCTGCAAGGGCAGCTCTGAAGATGCACTTCTGCTGTTCTGTGGCAGGTGAAATGTGCTGAGGAGCCATCAGTGGACACAGGCAACGTGTGTGCTCCTGCCCATAGAATCACAGAATGGTTTGGGTTGGAAGGGACCTTCCAACCCCTGCCATGGGCAGGGACACCTTCCACTAGAGCTGGTTGCTCCAAGCCCCACCTCATGTGAGCACAGGAGAATCACCAGTTCTGGTACATGATAGTCTTCAAGGGCAGGGGGCAGAAATCTGGTAACACAGGCTGAGGACAGTGCTCATCTTTCCATTCAAAGGTCCTGCAGCCCCTCTGGATGCAAATGCCCCAGGTTTATGGAGCTGCACTGTAACACTACTGGCCTTGGTATCCCCAAAGGGAGGGGAAGGGTGTCTGGGGGATTGCAGCAGGAAACCAGCAGCACTTGTAGGATCCCAAAGAGCACAGGAGGAAGGGAGCTCAGCACTGAGTCACCCACAGCCAGATCCTGTTCCTCTGCACTTCCCTGGAGGTGACACTTGGGTCCAAACAGACAACAGAGACACCCTCAGCATTAGCAGATTTGCAGGCAGGCTGGGGGTGATGCTTTGACACTTCTCAGGAGGCTGTCCATCAGCAGGATAGGATCACATCTCCTTCCCATCGTCTCCTGGGACACAGGTGAAGAGCCCAAACCAGGTCCCAAGGCTCAACCACCTTTTTGGTGTGGCAAAGGCCACTTAGAAGACTAAAGCCAGCATCACATCCTGCCACCACTGTTGGGAGAGTCCCTGTCTCATGCTCTAATCCTTAACATCTGGAGACAGACTAGAGGACCCAGCCTGGCCTTTCCCTGGGGTAGGGACAGCCTAAATCTTTGTGTGGGTGCTGGCAGGGGTCAGCCCCGACAGCTTGGACAGCCTGTGGTGTCCTGGGATGATCAGCAGAAGTAACTTCCAAGTCTGGAGGGAAGGGGAGCCCCTGCCACACAGCTCCCACAGCACGTCTGTTTGCAGAGGAATCCTAAGGAGCACTTACCCAGCCCATAAACAGGACATGACAGGGCTCCCAGCCAGCAGAGAGCCAGGAAAGGGAGCAGTGGGGGGTGAGAGAAGGGGCTGGTACTCACTGCACAAGAAGCAGGACTTGTGGAAGCTGTTGCCTTCACATTGCACCTCCTCAGCAAAGTACACGGCCTTCTGGCAGACCCCACACTTCTTTCCTCCTCCCCAGTTTGGCATCCTGCAGGGAAAGCACAGGCAGGAACAGGGTCGGGGGGGAGGTCAGGCAGGAGCAGGGATGGGGCAGTAGGAGCAGACACCCCCCAGCTGGAGCTCCAGCAGCTTTCCCACACTGACATGTGCAGAGATCCCCCACAGATGTTTGGGGTGTGCACAGACTCACAGTTCTGCAGGATTAGCAGAACTCAGGATGCCCATGGGACCCATCACTACAGCACCCAGCTGCCTCCCAGGGACCACTGGTCCTGCCAGCCAAGAGCAGCAGAAATTCTTTTGTCCTGGAAGCTGTGGGACCTCACAGCTCCTTTCAGTGCCAGGGAAAGGGAGGAAGTGGAACAATGCTGGGACACAGCACTTACAGGGGTACTCACGGCCCCGACACCTCCTCAGATCCCAGCCCTGGTGCTGGAGAGTGAGAGCTGTCACCCCCTCTGGAAACAGTGCCAGCCTCTCCTCCCTGACCAACTCTTCCATCTCAGCCACCACAGGGCAGGGGTACAGTCAGGGTTGCCCAGATAGGAGGGACTGACCCCTGACACCACCAAACAGGGGGCTTGGACAGCTCAGCCTCCTCCAGGGCTGCAGGCACAGTCACAGAGGCTGGAAAATCAGAAATCAGGGACACAGCACAGGTGCAAAGACCTGAGCACCAGCCTCAGCTACCATCCAGCTCCTTGGCAGGATATAAATGCTTCTGTTTCTCTTTCCTGAACTGTGTCTGATGAGACACGACCAAGAGGCCCCTTGAGCTGCAAATTTGCAGATAACCCCAAAAACCAGGAAGCTAAAGAGGATCTAAAAGCAACCTGAGACTGCTACAAAGACAATAAAACACTTTTTGGTGGAGCCCAATGATGCACGAAAGGTCAAAGGGCACAAGCTGCAGCTTGGGAGGTTTTCAGGGGCCTCTCTCCATGTAGTTACACCTCTGTAATTCTCCATCCCGTTCCCATGTGGGGACAAGCAGCAGAAGTCACCTTCCCATAGCCATGTGCTTCCTGACTCCTGAACAGCTAAAGCAGCAGGAAAATGTCCCCAAAACCAAAGACCATTTTTCCAGTACACCCCGTGCCAGCCCACCACGTGTGCAGGATCTCATCAGCCCCCTTGGCTCAGCTGTGTGGTCATGAGGAAGGGGGCTTGGGTCTGCTGGAGCACACTGAGAGCCTTCAAGCCCTCTTCCTGCAGCAGACCCAAACCCCTGGGTCACCTTGGTAGCTGATGCTCCATCCCTGGGTCTCCAGTTACCCACCCAGAGGCTGAGCCAGCGGCTCTCCCAGCTGGGGAGGTGGGTGCTAAACACACCAGGAGTGGGGGCTGTATAAACATCAGGCAGAGAGATGGGGGAGCACAAAGCTCCACAAACCCTCTGCTCAAAGGCACAGGGATATGGGAAAACTGAGCTCTTCACAGAATCTCCTGAGCTGAAAGGGATCCACAAGGATCATCCAGTCCAGCTCCTGTCCACAGGACAACTCCAAAATCCCACCCTGTCCCTGAGAGCATTGTCCAAACACTCCTTGAGCTCTGGCAGCCTTGGGGCCGTGACCACTGCCCTGGGGAGTCTGTTCAGTGCCCAACCACCCTCTGAGGGAAGAACCTTTTTCTGATCTCCAACCAAAACCTCCCTGACACATCTCCAGCTGTTCCCTCGGATCCTCTTCCCTGTGTAAGAGCATTTGTCAGGCAATAGAACAGGGAAATGGATCTCAGCCTGGTTTTTGGGGCAGGCAGGGCAGGGGTCAGGGCCCTGCTCTAGCCCAGCCTCAGCTCCTGGATGCCCAGAGGGTCTCAGAGTGGGACAGACAGATGGAGCTGTGGAGGGGGAGTGCCACAGGCAGGGGCTGGAGAGGCTGTGCTGGCTCCAGAGATGCCAAGAGCTGTGTTTGGGGTGTGATAACAGCAGCCTGTAAGTCTCTTTTTCAAAGGCCCTGAAGACTGGGCTTCCCACCGTGCCAAATCCCTCCCTCCCATCCCGGTCCTTCCAGTCCCAGCCTTTGGATTGCCTTAAAAGGGCACAGATTGTTTCTCTCCAAAGCCTGTTTTTTTCGCCTGCACCAGGAAGAGGGCTTGACCTTGGAGGGCAGAAACATCCAGCAGCACCTCCCTGCCAGCCCCTGAACCCTGCACCATGTGGGAGCCCCCCAGCCCCTTTTGCCCCTGTGCCCACCTGTGTCAGATCCCACCTCAGGAAGGCTACACCTTCTCCGGGTCCCCCATCCCTTTCCAAACACGACAGCTGACAGACCCTATCTCTAGGACTCCCCAGGCCTGATTTTGAGGGGAAGCCTCTTCCCAGCACTCCCTGCTCCACAGCCAGGGCACCCTGGAGCATACTCCATGGTTTGGAACCAGCTGCTCCCCTTTGCCTCCATGACACATTTTTTCCCCCCTTACAGCAACAGCAGCAGTGAAGGAAAAGGTTTGTGCTGAACATCAGGGCTCATCTGCCCAACCCAAGAGCTCAGTGCTGGGGACACCTTCCCCTGAGCTGCCTGTAAGTCGGCTGGAGGTGAAAAAGGTGCTGCTGGGAGAAGCTCACCTGCCTCATGAGGAGTCCAAGCCCTTTTGCTGCTTATTCTCCTCCCTCCACCATGGGGAGGCAGCAGGTGCCTCCACACAGTTTAAACAACACCCTGGGGATTCAGACAGATGACTCTCACCATGAAGCACAGATGAAGCCCTGGCAAAGCCACATCCCATCAAGACCTCCTGGCACATACCAGGATGGATTTTCTGAGGGGAGAGACCATGGAAATTAGTTTTCCCTGGGGATCCATGTGAGAGCTCACAGCTGGGCAGAGAGAAAGCCCAAGAAAAGATTGAAGTTGCTGGGAATTCCCTCTTACTCCGCAACACCCACACTACACTCTGAGAGCTTGGCAGGCCACACAGAGACCAAAAAGCAGTTTATGCTCCAGGTCAGTATCAACAGAAAAAAAGGAATAGGAGCACCCTGCTCATGGAGCCTGGGACCTGTATCAGCCCTCTCAAAATCAAAGTCCTTACAACACCCAGACAGACAGACATGTAATGACCACTTTAAGACACGTTGGAGTGTTTTCAATCCTTTCAGCATTTTTCTCAGAGTACATTGCATATTTTTCCCAACTGCAGCACTTAGTGACCTCACTTGCACTTCTCCAAGTCACCAGGAACCCCGTGCAGAATGAGGAACAGGAGGTCCTGCAGTCAACAGCCTCCCTGAGCACAGGCAAAAGAGACACACAGGGCTGTCAAAACCCAAGAGTATTTTCCTTCCTCCTTCATCTCCACAGCCCATGGAGCACAACTCCTAACAAATACATCCAGAGCCCTACAGACACCATCCTCAGTGCCAAGGGAGGCTCTGCCCCAGAGCCACTCCATCATCCACTCATGGTAAGGGAAGGGGCCCCAAAAGCCCCTGGGGAGCACAGACACAGGGGAGGCTTGTGCAGAACCACACAAGGCTGACACTTGTTGGAGATCAACTCCAACTCCAGTGTCTGATGGCTGATGTTGCTGCAGTTCAGCTCTCCACAACAAGGCCAAGTAGGACAGGGCTTGGAGCAACCTGGTCTAGTGGAAGGTTCCCATGGCGGGGGAATGGAACTGGATAATCTTTGAGGTTTCCTTCCAACCCAAACCATTCTGTGTTTCTATGAAATGAGAGCTACAGACTCACCCTTTTCAGGGTTGCACCAGTTTGGGAGGCAGTCTAAGCTACACTGAACAACCAGACATAAACCAGTATGGAACCAGTATGTCCTGGTGCCTTTGGATGTCCCCTGAACATGGGCTGTAAGGGGAAGCAGTGAGCAGATGCAGCCAAGCCATCAGGCAGCAGGAACACAGTCACCCTCTCCTTAGAACGGGTTGAAAGACCAGTATTAGCTGGTCACTCACATCCAAGCTGAAAACCTCCATCCTGCCTACCTGCAAGCAGCTGCTTTGTAACTGCTGGAGCTGAAGGAGCACCCATCGCCATGTGGACACAGCTCCATGGCCACAGGGGCACCCAGAGCAGGGCAGGAACATCCCTGCAGCCCCCTGGATGCCAACTCGACCCTTTGACCTTCTGCAATAGCTGGAAAACCTTTCCTAAGAATGTGCCCTACTAAAATCCTACAGTAATTAATTGCAGAGCAGTCACTTTGTGCTTGGAGATCACTGAAGAACAGGACACTCGTGCTGGCCCATGTAAAAGGGTTGGGTTTTTTTTCCAATGAGAGCATTAACACAAGTGAATGACAGAAGAGTCAGTGCTGCACTAAATTCACTCTAAGGATGTTCACAGCAGCCCACACAGGATTATTACATGGCCTGGCAAAGGGACGAGTCAAAGGGGAGGAAGCCATAGCAGGAGCCCCAAACCCCAGGATCTGATTAGTGCCTTCCAGTTTAGAGAGCAGCTGGCATGGCCATGAAATGGGCAGAGATTTGCAGCAGGAGTCACCCAGACTCCTGAGGCGTGTGGACAGAGCAGAGGAACCAGCTCACAGGCATATATGTAACAGTGACCTAAAGGGGACTCTGGGCTACCAACAGTGTAAACAAGGATAAATGAAGGTCATGTGTGACACAGTGATGTCAAACTGGTGAGCAAGAGAAGGGGGTCCTGAGGTTGGTGAGCTCAGGGACATGGCAAAACACTGGGAATCACCATGGCAAATCAGATCACTGACCCAGGAGATGCAGCTGGATCAGATCAGACGCCTCTGAGAGCTTTGCTGTGAGAGCAGAGGAGGAAGTCAGGAAGGTCTGAGGTCCAGAATGATGCTCACACACGGCTCATCTACTCTATAGCTCCCAAAGTAATCAGCCAGGACTTCTGCTGCCAAGGCAGCCCCATGTTGGCTGTGCCAGGGCAGGGCCCATGCGAGGCCAGCACTGCCCCACGCCACTGGCCAGGCACAGCTCTCACAGCCACGTGCCTATGGACCAACCACCACTGCCCACGGACACACTGCTCCCAAGCCTGGGTTACAGAGGCTACTTGGAAGTTTCCTAACACAACTGGGTTCCTCAAGGAAAATCCCAACTTTAT